CCTGGCGTTCAGGAAGTGAATTAGAGCGGTGCCCACTGATCGGTGGGTCAGTGCCGTTCCAATACCAACCCTGGCGTTCAGGAAGTGAATTAGAGAGCAGTGCCCACTGATCCGTGGGTCACTGCAGTTCCAATACCAACCCTGGTGCCCAGGAAGTGAATTAGCAGTGCCCACTCATCGGTGGGCCAGGGTTCCTCTAGCTGCAACCACCCGGACAGCCTTTAAGTCCAAAGAAAGCAAAATTGGCTGTGGAGGATCGCAGAAGAGGGCTGTCACAAAACCCATGGATTTTCCTCAAGGAGATGCGAGAGCACCAGCGGGCCTTAACCCAAGCCACTGTGTGAGCGAGCAGAACCAAAAGCAGCAGGGACAGAGCCTGGAGGAAGGGCGGTGGGCACAGTGCAGCTCTTCAACCACAGCTGATGCCGCCATCCAGAGAGGCAGGTCCAGTCCACACAGCTCAGCCACCCTAAGGGCATCAGTGTGTCCCAGTACCCCTCCAAAGCCAGAGTCATCAGAAAGTTCAGTTGTGTTCCAGCTACCCTACCTAAGGGGTGTGTGTGTGTGTAAATCACAATGCTCTCCATCAGAAAAGTTGAAAGGGTTGATCCGCCAGGGCCCCGTTATGAGTAACTCACCCCCTACCAACATCAGGGGCATGGGGCTTCACTGTTAAACCCTCACCGTTCTTCTCCCCCTCTCCCCTCTGGGGCTTCACCTTCTCAACTCGTGGTTATGAAGCAGTGACTCCTGCCAGGCACTGCGGGGGGTGGTGGGGACATAGATGTACACAGAAAATTACAGGGCAGGGAGTGCCGAGTCGCACGCCGGGAGACCCACAGGCACAGCCTTTCACCTGGCAAGTCAGGAAGCTCTCGGTGCTTTCGTTTTGTAACTAATGGTGGGGAGGGGGGCTTGAGGGAAAAAGGGATCGCCCCAAGGTTTTTTTTTTCTGCATTTCAGACCCGCACAACTTGAAGATTTGCTGCCGGGTCAACGGGGAGGTCGTGCAGAGCAGCAGCACCAGCCAGATGGTGTTTAAGACGGAAGAGCTGATTGCCTGGGTCTCCCAGTAAGTGCGATGGGGCCCGTCTGGGCCGCCTCACCCCCCAGACACCTGAGGCCTGAGCAAGCATTCCGTCAGTCTGTGCCACCTCAGCCAATGGCCTACCCTGGCCTGTCTGCTTTGTCCCAGGTTTGTCACTCTTTACCCAGGGGACGTCTTCCTGACCGGGACACCCCCAGGTGTCGGTGTATTCCGGAAACCTCCGGTCTTTCTCAAGGTAGGCTGGCTAAAAGGAGGGGGAGCGAGAAGCCAGGAGGCACGGCAGGCCTGTGTGTGCATAGCAGTGTGTGTGTGTGAAGCTGAAGGACTGACACCCTCTGGTCTCTGTTACAGAAGGGAGACGAAGTCCAGTGTGAGATTGAAGAGCTAGGCATCATCATCAACAAGGTGGTGTGAGGGCTCCCGCCACAGGCCCTGGACTTAACACTGAAGCGCCCAGGAAGGCCCAGTGCCCAGGGCGGGCGGAAGGCCCGGTGCCCGAGGGGGGCGCGTCAGCCCCTCGAGGCCCTCTTCCAGAATCATGGGAGAAGATGGAACGCCCTCAATAAACGTCTCAGGCCAGAGCAGTAGCTGGGCTTTTATCATCTTTTAGGGTTTGTTGCCGGGAGTGAGAGAGGACACTCTCACGGGGTCGGGGATGACCAGACGCACCGAAGATGCTGCTGGGCTGGGGAAAAGGAGTCACCAGTCCCCGTTATCACACCAAAGGATGGAGGGAGCAGGAGACAGCAAGGGACAATCAAACCGCGAAAACTTTACAGTCCAGCTAAGTATCTGCCAAGTTCTGCTGTGGATGCGGCCATGTTCTCAGCATGGGCACTGCCCCCAGTTCTAGCTACAGATGAACTGCCGGATGAACTGTTCCAGCTTTTCCTGACTGTCCCGGCTGGCAAATGTCGGTGACAGCTGGAGCATGGGGCCTGCAGGGCCTGGCGTCTGCTGCAGCACCTGGGACAAGGAAAGGGCCGTGAGCGTGCTCACCAGGGGCAGTGCGCCCAGGAAACCACAGCGAAACCTCTGGCCCCTTAAGCCTCACTGTGCTGCCTCATCTCAAACCACCCCAGAGCTGGAAGGAGAACGAGCCAGTGGTTTGGGAGAGTAAGAAAGAGGGGCAGGAGAAGCATCCTACCTTCTCCAACCTTCTGTCAGCACACCTGCTCCTGGAGACACTGGGTCAGTCCCAGGCTCTTAACAAGGCATTGTCAGAGTAAGCCCCAGGTGGCACCGCTGGGCCTCCCTGAGTGGCTCAGTCAGGAATGTGGGGCTGGGGGTGGGAGGCAGGGGGACAGGCAGATGGTGAGACAGGTCCTTCTTACCCCCAAGTCTCTGAAGGTCCAGATAGCACTAGTGGTAAGTTTTGGGTCCACACACTCTGGAGGGAAGAGAGAAGGCTGGGAGGGTGGGGGGACAGGGAGCTACAGGGCACAGGCTTCTCTTCCAGGACAGGGAGGGCTCAGACTGGACCAGAAGGCCGTCTACTCTGCAGCCCTCCTTGCCTGGAGCTGGGTTGCCACTGCCCAGCAGGGGGCAGCAGCCACCAGCAAACCCACCCGCGGCTTCCCAGCAGCAGCCTGGGCTGGCTACTTGGGACTCACCGAAGAACCCTTCCTCTTGGGCAGTGGCCTGCAAGAACTGGAACAGCTGCTCCGTGTAGCCCACCTCTGTGGGCAGAGAGCAAGACCTAGACCTGGCCCTGCACGCAGCCCCCGCCATGAGCTCTCGGCCTCCCTGAGGACTGCGGGGGGAGTGAGGGCCTGCACCGCCAGGGACAGGGCTCAAGGCCAGGGAGGCCTCACCTGTATCCGGCAGCTGCCCCTGGCAGAGGAAGGCGGCAGCTTGTGCGAAGGCCTGGAGCAGCGGGCTGAGCAGGCGGCAGAGGAAGAGGAGGAAGTCAGGGCAACGAGACTGCTGGCTGAGCTGGAGGGAGAGGCCAGGGTGAGGAGCGGCCCCCACGGCCGCCCTGCAGCCCTCTCCCCGGGGGCTTCCCCCGGCGCACCCGGAAGTACCGGCCCTCGGCCTCCTCGAAGTCGTCACTGTCACTGTCAGTGAAGTCCCCACTCGGCTTCCACAGCAGCTTTGCACTCACACGGCGCCCCGTGTCACAGGCCGGCCGGGAGCCTGGGCTCTGGGGGCCACGGGAGCCACCGGTCACTGCCAGACCGGCCTGGGTTCAGCCCTACACCCCGGACCAGGCACACGCGGTGAAACCAATAAAAGCAGGGAGCCCAAGAGGATGCCAGGGCCACGCCAAACTACGGCATCCGCTGAGCTGAGGGGGAGAGGACGAGCACCCACCCCCAAGAAACGGAGGGGCAGGCTGTACAGAGAACGTCACAGCACATGTCCAAGCCTGTCGTGTCTGACACACGCGGGCCCAGGGCAGCTGTGCCTCCCCAGATCCTGCAGCAGGGATGGGCCCCAGGCTGCTCCCATCCGCCAGGCTCTGCCCTGCTCCAGGTGCAAGTCCAGGGGGCTGGCCAGCCCTACAGCACCCACGGAGCAGGAGCCTGTGGGCAGCCGTCACTCGGGGAGGCTGAGAAAGCCCAGGCGCCACAGAGGGCTTCACCTCCAACCGCCCGGCCTACCTCCTCGGCAACCAGCAGCCCGCACTGGATTAGCCGGTCCAGCACCTCCTGACAGTAGCAGTAGGAAGACCGGCAGGGCTGCGGGGAGAGGGACCACGTGGCCTCAGCACAGCAGGCGCTTGGCAGCGGCCGGCCGGAGGCAGGGCAAGGCTAGGCCACCGCCACAGGCAGCCGGGGTGGGGCTCAGCAGGGACACCCGGGAGGGCGGCCGGGCCGACCTGCAGGAGCAGCAGGTCCTGAGGCAGCAGGTGCAGCAGCAGCAGGACCTGGCGGTGCAGTTCGCGCTGGCTGAGCAGCTCCACGCCCTGCAGCTCCCAGCGCCCCTCAGGCGGCACTCTGCCTGCCAGCAGCCCCCGCACAGCACAGGCTGGGGGGTGGAGAGAGCCGGGCAGAAGCGTGGGCATGTGGAAGGAAGCCACTCCCCTCACCCTGCACACACATCCCACCCGCCCTGCGCCCTCAGGACTCACCGCCCACGGCCTCGCTCAGGAAGGCGGGCAGCAGCTCAGCGCTCAGGCGCGCTAGGTGCGTGAGGCCCGGGCCAGGCCGCGGCACCACCACCAGGTCCCCCTGGTGGACGCGCAGCAGTGCCACGTGTGCCTGCAGCAGACCCAGCGTGTGCCGCACGAGGCACCGGAGCTGCCCCGAGAAGCCCACGTCAAAGCCGCGCAGCAGGGTCTCCTCTGTCAGCCACGAAAACTCCCCCAGCAGCCGCGACAGGAACACACCCTGGGTGGGCAGGGCAGAGGGCTGAGCAGGAGGCCGCACCCCTCCCCGGCCCCCCTCCAGCTCGGCCCTACCTTCTGGTGCTTGAACAGCAGCAGCGCTGCCATGATGGCTGTGCTCATCACCGCCGAGCTTGCCACGCTGGCTGGGGCCGGGGAGGGGATGCCCATCAGGGGTCGACACCAGCCATCTGGTCTCTCCATTGTCTGGCAAGTCTTCCCAACCAAGAAAACTCCCTGCCTCCCTGGCAGCAGCCACACCCCAACCCAGGGGGGGAGGCGGGAGGGCCTGGTCCCTGGTCCCACCCTTCTTAGTGGAGAATCAGCATTTATCAAATACACACTGAGCCAGGCCAGGGGCCCAGGGACCCTCCCTGTCTCTCAGAGGCTCCACTCACAGTCGGCTACAAAAGGGGCACTTCACCAGAGCAAGCAGATAGTTCTGTTAGAAAACCTCTCTACGTAAGGGACTGTGTTAAGTCCTTGTATACATGATTCCGTCCAGTTAACACTCACATTTTCAGTACAGAAACTCAGGCTCAGGGTGAAGTGGCGAACCCACAATGGGCTGGGTGTGAGCTGGTGGTCGGGACCTGGCATCGCCCGCACCGCGCAGTGGCGTCCTGCACGCGGGCAGCCCACGCGCCCTCCCTTGGCAGCCCCTCGCACCCTCCCTGGCGGCAGCCCCTTGCCCGCCCTCCCTCGGCGGCCCCTCGCACCCTCCCTGGCGGCAGC